AGAGCTGGGGCTGCCCCCCCCCCCTCCCAACCCCCTTAATTTGTCCCCTCTTTGATGCCGACGGCACAGCGGTGGAGGGGACGCGCTGCCCGCTGTCACCGCCCCTGGGAGAAACACCGGGTCTGCCGAGCTGCGCCCTCCTGCGCCTGGAACGCGGGCTGCAGCGCCGCCGGGAGCCCCCCGGGCTGCTGGCAAACAGTGAGTGGGGATGGGGGGCTGGGATGGGGGCTGAGCTGGGGGGGGCTGAGCTGGGGGGGGCTGAGCTGGGGGTTGAGCTGGGGGGGGACTGGACTGGGAGCTGAGCTGGGGGGGCTGAGCTGGGGGGGCTGAGCTGTGGGCTCCCCGCCTGCCCTGTTGTCTCCCTCAGAGCACCCACTACGAAGCCGAAGGGAACAGCTGTGCTCGTGGGGCTGAATTTGGTGCGGATCCATTGCCAGAACGACGCCGTCTATCAGTACCACGTCACCTTCAGGTAATGAAGGTGCCGTTCATTAGTAGCTCTGGTAGAAGCCCGCCCGTCCCCCCGAGCCGCCGTGGGGGTGGGTTTGGGGTGGGGGGCTGATGCGGTGCTGCCTCCTCGCGTCCCGCAGCCCCGAGGTGGAGTGCAGGAGCGCCCGCTTCGCCATGCTGAAGGAGCAGCGGGCGGTGACAGGAGATGTGACGGCGTTCGATGGCTCCATCCTCTTCCTGCCCGTCCTGCTGCCTCAGGTGGGGCTGCTGCTGCTCCCGGCTCTCGTTCCCCAACGTGGGGACGCTGGGATCCCCCACGTGGGTGGGGGGTGCTGAGCCCCGTCCCCCCGCAGCCGCTCAGCCTGAAGGCGCTCAGGAGGACGGATGGGGAGGAGATCAGCATCGCCATCCAGATCACCAAAGTGCTGGAGCCGAGCTCCGACCTCTGCATCCCCTTCTACAACGTGGTGTTCCGCAGGTGAGGCGCAGCGGGCGCCTCCCTGGGCTCCAGTTTGTGCCAGGGCTGACGGCGCTGTGCTGCTGCTCCACAGAGCCATGAGGATCCTGGACATGAAGCCGGTGGGAAGGAATTTCTACGACCTGTCCAAGGCCAACGTGATGCAGCGCTACAGGTGGGCGCGGGACGTGCTTTGCTTTGGCTGGGGCCAAAGTGGGGCCATCGCAGCCCTGCTGCCTGCAGCTGTAGGGCTGAAGGGGTTCCCGGAGCTCTGCTGGGCATGGCGGGTTTCTGCCCGTGTTGCTGCGCCCGTCCCGGTGCCCGTGGCTGTGAAAGTGAGGCTTTTGCCAAGGGAGCTGTGGTTACCCCGATGCCAGCAGTGCAGTGTGGGGGCTGTGGCGGCCAGCGGGGTGAGGGCTGGGCAGGTGCTGGGTGCTCCCTGGCTGTAGGGGCGGCCGTGCTGCGCTGCCGGGGCTGAGCCGTGCTCTGCGCTGCTTCCCTCGACTGCAGGCTGCAGATTTGGCCGGGTTACTCCGTCAGCATCCGCAAAAAGGACGCCGGGCTCTTCCTGATGGTGGACACCGTCCATAGGATCATCCGGAATGAATCCGTGCTGGCTTTAATGTGAGAGGGGAGGAATGGGCAGGAGCCTCGGGGCGGGGGGTTCCCCGTGCTTTGGGGGCCGTGGGATTCAGGGCTGTCCCCTCTCCCTTCCTCGCAGGCAGTCCATCTGCAAGCAGAGCCCCAGCAGCTTCCACGACGAGTGCACCAAGCAGCTGGTGGGCAGCACGGTGCTGACCCGCTACAACAACCGCACATACCGCATCGATGACATCGAGTGGGAGAAGACCCCCAGGGACAGCTTCACCTTGGGCAGCGGGGAGGAGATCAGCTTCGTGGATTACTACAGGTGGGGACGAGGGGGGCTGGCGGGGGTTCGGAGGGGCTGCTTGTGAGAAGCCCGGCTCACGGCGTGGGTTTTCTGTCAGCAAAACGTATGGGATCACCGTGCGGGAGTTGGAGCAGCCGCTGCTCATCCACAGACCCAAGGAGAAGCTGATGCTGGGGGGCAAGGTGAGCCGGGGGGGGGGGGGGGGGGGGGGTGTGCTTTGCAGCTCTGCGTGCAGCACGAGCCGGGCTCTCCCACAGCCCCAGCTGGACATGGTGCTGCTGCTGCCGGAGCTCACCTTCCTGACCGGCATCTCGGAGGTCAAGAAGGACGCCCGCATGCTGAAGGTCAGCATCTCCCACCCCCCCGGGGCAGGGCTGGCGCTGCGGGGCTGCCCCACACGGCTGGCTCTGCCCCCAGGACGTGATGCAGGAGATGCTGCAGAGCCCCCAGCAGCACTACGAGTCTCTGTGCAGTTTGCTGCGCCGCATTCAATGCAACCAGGAGGCGTTGCAGGAGCTGACGCGCTGGGGGCTCGTCCTGAGCCCCGACATCCACACGGTAAGACGGGGGGATGCCCTGGGATGCAGGGGGGCAGCGCAGGAGCTGCCTCAGGTCGCGTTCCTCGCAGACCCAGGGCCGCATCCTGCCCTCGGAGCGGGTCAACCTGCGGCGCTGCTCCTTCATCCCCGCCGAGGACGTGAACTGGACCAAGGAGGTGGTGCGGGAAGCTGCCATCTCCACGGTGAGCGCGCGGCCGGGCTCTGCTGCCCCGGAACAACGCGGCTTTGTCGGGGCTGGGATGGGTTCCGTCAGCTCTGCCTCCTGCTGCGCGTCTGTCTGCACACGGAGCCGTGTCCTGGCTGCGGTCTGCCCTGGATTTACTTTGGCTTTGCCTCACGGCCCGCTTTTCTGAAGGGATGTGTGGACGAGGTGGCTGCGTCCCCCCCTCCCCCCGGGGCCGCGGGAGCTGAGCGTCGCGTGTTCCCCCCTCGGGATGCTTTCCCTGCCCCACGCCTCCCTCCGCCCCCCCAGGTCGACATGAACTGCTGGCTGCTGGTCTACCCGCGGCGCCTGCAGGACGTGACCAAGAGTTTGGTGGCTCTGATGAGGAGCACCTGCGGCCCCATCGGCATGCACATCAACCAGCCCGCCCTGGTGGAGCTGAAGGACGAGCGCCTCGAGAGCTACGTCCGGACCATCCGCAGCATCCTGGGCAGTGATGTGGGGTTTTTTTTTGTCTTTCCCTGGGGCTGGTGGGGGGGTTTTGCAGCTGCGTGCTCTCATTTCTGCCTTGCTGTGCTGTGTTTCCACGCAGGACAAAGTGCAGCTGCTGCTGTGCATCACCAGCGGCACCAAAACAGATGTGTACAGTGCCATCAAGAAGCTGTGCTGCGTGCACAGCCCGGTGCCCTCCCAGGTGTGGGGGTGTGTTGGGGCGGCCCCCCGAGCTGGGCTGGGTGTGGGGCAGCCCCCCGACCTTCACTTCTCCCTGCGCAGGTCATCAATGCGCGCTCCCTCCTGGGGCACTCGGCCAAGCTGAGGAGCGTCGTGCAGAAGGTGCTGCTGCAGGTCAACTGCAAGCTGGGCGGCGAGCTGTGGGGGGTGGACGTCCCACTGGTGAGTGAGGCACACGGGGTGGGCACAGCCTGGGGGTGGGCACAGCCCTCACAGCCCCCCGACGCGTCCCTTTGCAGAAGCAGCTGATGGTGGTCGGGATGGATGTGAGCCACAGCAGAGGGACGCGCTCCGTCATCGGCTTCGTGGCCAGCACCAATCAGTGCGTGGTGCCGGGCTGGGTCGCTGCTTCCCCTTTCCTAGGAGGGGGCTGGCTTTGCCCTGGCCTCGTGCTGTGCCGGGCGCTGCTTTCTGCAGTGCCCCCACGCCTGCTGTTGCTGGCCCTCCCGCCCCGCAGGGTGCTGACCAGGTGGTATTCCCGCGTCGTGTTCCAGCTGCCGCAACAGGAGATCGCTGACAGCCTGCGCCTCTGCCTGGCCAACGCGCTGCAGCAGTTCCACGAGGTGGGGGCAGAGCTGGGGGCGCCCAGGGCAGCAAACGGCCCCATGGCTGTGAGCCCTGCGGGGGCTCAGCCTCGTGCCACTGCCCCGAGGGTCGCTTTGCCCCCACGTTGCTCCTTTGTGCGCCGCCCGGTTGCTCCGCATCCCCAGCAATGCAGCACCAGGGGCTGCCAGGCCTCTGCCAGCTCGCGTTGCTTCCTCTGACCCCACACTGTGAGGTTTGGGGCCGCGCTGGGCTCACACTGGTCTGTCCCGCTGGCCCGAGGTCAGCTGAGGGCGGCAGGGCTGAGTCCTTGCTGCGGGCAGCCCCAGCTCCCAGCCTCAGCCCCGAGGATCCCAACCCCTTCTGCTCCCACAGATGAACCACTGCCTGCCCAAGAAGATCGTGGTGTACCGGGACGGCGTGTCGGACAGCCAGCTGGACACGGTGCTCAAATACGAGATCCCGCAGCTGCAGAAATGCTTCGACACCTTCGAGAACTACAGCCCCAGCATGGCCGTGCTGGTGGTGCAGAAGCAGATGGGCACCAATTTCTACTCCGTCTCATCCGAGCAGCTTTCGGCCGCGCCGGCGGGGACGGTGGTGGATCACAGCATCACCAGCACTGAGTGGTGAGTGGGGGGGGGTCGGAGGGGGGGGGGTCTGCGAGCTGCAGGCCGAGCGACGCGTGTTGTGCGCCGTGTGCTCCGCTCCGCCGCAGGCAGGATTTCTTCCTGCTGGCCCACTGCCCGCGGCTGGGCTGCAGCATCCCCACGCGGTACATCTGCGTGCTGAACACCGCCAACCTGAGCGCCGAGCACCTGCAGAGGTGAGGGGGGGGGCCGCAGGGAGACCCCCGCTGGGCTCTGCGCCCTGCCGTGCTCAGCCTTCTTTGCGATGCCGTCCCCAGGCTGACGTTCAAGCTGTGCCACCTCTACTGGAACTGGCCGGGCACCATCCGCGTGCCAGCGCCCTGCAAATACGCGCACAGGTTGGCCTTCCTGGCGGGGCAGGTGCTGCAGCACGAGCCCGACGCGCGGCTGTGCAACAAACTCTTCTTCCTTTAGCCCCGGCGCCGCGGGCTGTGCTGGTGTTCGCTTTCTTTTTTGCGCCCGCGGTTCCTTTTGGGTTGTTTTACTGAGAAAAAGCGAGCGGGGGGGGGGCAGGGCAGAGCTCGGGGCTGGGGGGGTTCCTGGGTTCCTCGGTTCCTGCGCCGGTGCTTCGTTTCTTCCACGCCCTCCTGCCAGCCCTTATCGCAGCCCTGCTCTCCCCCCACTCTTTATTTTCCATTCGCTTTGCCGGCTGATAGCGGGGAGGAGATAAGGGGGACTTTGAGTCCTCCACGCTCCGCTCGCACTTTGGAGGGCGCCGCTTTTCTCTCCTGGCTTTTTCTTTCTGCTGTTGGCTTTTGCTTTTCCTGCCCTTTTTTTGGCTGCTGGTTTCCGTTCCCTTCAATAAAGCTGTTCCTGGCAGCAGTGCTGTGTCGGGGGTCCCGCGCCGCAGCCCCCATCCACAAATGGGACGTTTCCCCCCCCATGTTTTTCCATCGGGTTAATGATTCACTGCCCCACGGCGGACTTTGGCTGCAGCTGTTGTGGGGCGAAGGGAGAGCGGGGCGGGGGTGAACGGGACCCCCCCCAAACTCCCCCCATGGGTGCACAGCTGGAACGCAGCCCCCCCCCACACACCCATTCCACGGGCTCCTAATCAAGCGTGCTAATTGCAGCTGAAGGGCTCTCTTGTCCTTGGCGGCTCCGCAGAGCGGAGAGCAGAGCGGGATGGGGGGGGTGGGGGGGGCTGCCACAGCTGATGGGGGGGGGCTTTGGGGGGCCGGTATCCCCGCATGGGGTGCCGCATCCCGATGGGGGCGGGGTGT